CTAGCCAGCCAGCAGGAAAAGCAACCCAAGGCAAAGGCAAAAGGCAAAAGGCAAAACGGTTTCTTATATTTTTTTCGTTTACCGTTTTTGGCCTTTTTGACTTTCCCACATGACAGACAATTCTGCTGTTTGCAGCAGCAGCTTTTTTGTTGTTTTTTTTTTTTGCTTGCTGTTTAATAAACTTAACAATTTAATTTTTTCCATTTTTTGTTGGCATTTTGTTCGTCTTTTGTATTGATTGTCGCGTTGACAGCCTCCCCGCCAATTGGCTTTGGCCCCCACTTGAACTTTGTGGCCATCGGGTGACCAGCGGACTGGCTTCCTAATCGCCGGAACGAGACTGCAGCCCACAACTGACTTTGGCCCCTCTCGCTCTCTCTCTCTCTCTCTCTCTGTGTGTGCCCCTCCCTGCCACGATTAAGCGCCGGGCATTTGCTGTCAATCAACGCAGCATTAACCACTCAGCGGGTGCTGCTGCGGTCAGCAGTGGTTGAGGGGTTGGCGGTGGCATATCACCCAATCAATAACAATGACTGATTACGATTAAAACTGTTGCCCCGTAGCAGGCACACACACGCTCTTTGGCCTTTTGGCGAGCCTCCTTTCAGCCAGAGAGAAAACGAAAATGAGTCACGCTAACGAGACTGCCATGTGCTGTGGCAACAATGACGCGGAAATGCCAGAGCGAAAGCTAAACAGGTGGCACATACCAGAGGCGGAGAGATTGGCCTTCAGTCTGGAGGTTCTTTCATTGAATAATAGAAGCAGAAACGTAGTTGTAGTTACTCTTATCCGTTTGGCAGTGATTAGCTCATTCATTCCCATTTCGGATAGTTCAGATGACCAAGCATTATGCCTACGCTTATCAGTCAACTGGCGCCGACAACTTTCGCACATTGAATGACGCGCAAGTCGAAGACACGCATTGCCGAGGAGCTCCTCCGCTGGAGCTGGCTGTCCCACACGGATTTATTGCACCAGCGAAGCTAGCAAAGTCCCCAATAAAGATTGTGGCCCCAGTTTTGAAATCAAAACAAATCGTAAATAAATCGGAATGCGAAATTCCTGCAAAAAGATTCCATTGGTCAGGCCGCAACGTCTCCTCCGCTTCGGCGGCGATGGCATCCGCTGCTCCGGTTGAGCTTTGCTCCCGAATCGTATATTAGGCAGGTGCACAGACCACAAGTCACCTTATCGGACATTGGAGCTACTGTTATTATTTTTGGCATCGATCCCGGTCAGGCATTAATGAGCATTAATTGATTTCCCTTGCCCCTGTGGCGGTGCCAGATTTATGGGTACAGGATCTTGCGGTTTCCGCAAAGTTTTGGGCGGGTAAGCGCTGGGCACGTGTCGCGCCACAAAATGCCGAAATTAATCTGAAAAAGTACTCGTAGTCAGAGTCAGCCGGATGGGTGCTCTGTTTCGCAGTTTTGTAAACAGAAAACCGCAAAGCCAACAAAATGTACACCGCAGCACCGCAGCACCTCAGCGCCCTGCCCCTGGACACGGGCCAGACTTTTGGTATAAAAATTTTATATATTGCATTGCTATGGGTATTATAATACATGCGCTCGTGTGCGAGAGTATTTATACTCGTGTTTAGCCGTCGGGCGATTCATGTTTGACAAGTACTAAAAGTGATTAAAGCAAATCTAAACACTTGTTCCCTTGTACCCCTCCAGAGAGAGAGAGAGAGAGAGAGAGGGAGAGAGCGGGTTGGGGTTGAGTGGCATCGACTCATTTGTTAATCAAAATGCAAATGTAATCAATGAAACGGAAGTCAACATTGGGGGTGGGGAGTAACGTGTAAATGTAATAACATAATGGATCACCATGCCCCTTGCACATTCCCTTTTGGCCGGGTATGAGCACAGTGGTTCTGGGCAAACCTTTGCGGCATGCCATTCAATCTCTATTCAATTTGTGCCACTGTACTCCGCTTGGCTGTTAGCAAAATAAAAGCCTTTTCCCCCCTTTTTGGGTAATGAGTCTAGCCGTGTGGCACGGCAGTGGCCCTCGAGTTGCATGTCAAGCGGCATGAACATGTTGCCAAAGGTCTCTCTACTTTTACTTCTGCCTCCCATTCCTGTGTTTTATTCCTTGGCCATCATTCGTAAGGGGCGGCCTTTTGGCATTTCGGTTGCCATTTTCCAGCGGAAATGTGCGCCAAAAAGTGTTTGCAAGGGAATGGGAATGGGAATGGGAATGGGAATGTAATATGTTGGAATATTTGAAAATTAAGAAAAACAACCTAACAGCGTGTGCAGGAGGAGGAGTGTGGTGTGGGGGTTGGGGCAGAGCTCTTGGCAAATGGCGCCCGGCAAATGCGTTCATTGAACTGCCGCCCGAACGATGAAATAAAATCAACAGAAAACACATTTAAAAGGAAAATAAATATGTGGCGGATAGCTGGCGACAGCTGGCAGAGGAGCGAGACGAAGGACGAAGGACGAGCTAAGACAAACAGCGGAGCGGATTTATGGGGTCGGTTGCCCTGCCCTGCCCTGCCCTGCCCTGCCCCGTAAGACGGAAGCGGAAAGACGCGCAACTTGCAACTGACACAGAAATCCACAGACGGGTTGGGCTGGGCCATGCCACCGCAGAGCGAGGAAGCTGTCAAAAGGCTGTGCAACCCTTGCGGCCACTTCTGCTTCGGCTTATCCTTTATGTTTTTTTTTTGTCTGCTTCTTGCACTGCCAAACGGAAACGGAATCATGTTGCCTTACGCCACAAGAACGGGGCTCAAGACGCTGCCTGGCTCCTTGGGGTGCTGCAGCCATGTGTTCCGTCCTCTTTGGGGTGAAATTGATATGCCACAGACACTGACACAGCCACAGACAGAGAGACTGAGACACAGATACTTACTGTATCTCGTGTCTCCATGTTTAATGTGCAGAAAATTTCAGATTTTAATCATCCATTCGGTTATCGAATACTTTGTGGCAAGCTGTTGCCGTTGGCATTACTTACGCCTGAATGGGCGGGCGCAATCCAAGTAATTGCCACGGCTCGTTGCATAAGCGGGACACAACAGGTCGTATTATTAATAAATATATATTTTGCCTCTCCATGATCGAGAGGGAGGATGCCGCTGCCCGCCATTCAGCTTGAAGGAAAGGCAAATCTGAAAGAAGTTCTTGCATCATTCAATCAGATTTTTGCCAGTTCAATAATACAAATATTATTGTTGGACTGTGAAACATTTCTGGTAACATTTCTGGTAACATTTCTGGTATCGCCATCAGTTTTTGAAGCCATAAATTTGTCCGATCAAAGACAGTTTAGGCCCCGACTGAAGGCCTGTCAGTTGGCCGTCGTCACTCTCTGCGGCTGCTCGAAGTGAAGTGAAAAGTGAGAGCGAAGTGAGAGTGAGATTTAGTTGTCAGCGGCTGCAAATGCCTGAAATGTGAAAATCTCTGGCCGCCAGATAGTGTGGCAATCGATGGAAATACGTAAACGAGTCAGTCACATTGTCAAGGTCGGAATTCCAGGGAATTGCTTAAAAAATCATAATAAAACAGGTGAAAATTAAAAATAGAAAATAGGGGGAATTATGTGAAAAGTTTAGCATTTTGGATGCGAAATAATTATATAATTTGACTAATACTTTTGACTACTTTTGTTCTACTAAAACTCCGTAATTTGGTACACTTTAGGCCACTAAGTGGCAGTGCCTAGCTTCCGCCTTGAAGTGGGTGTGGCTGTGGCTGTGGCTGTGGCTGAGACTGTGGCAAATGCCACAATTTGTTGCGCTCCATTGCGCGTGGAAATTATGATTTTAGCTTTTTGTGGAAAATCTCATTAGGTTTCGGGTTTTTTTTTTAGTTGTGCCGTAAATATGGGTTTCGCGACTCAGCTTTGGTCCAAATTGAAAAGCTCACTGACCGTCGCAACAGCAACAGCAACAGCCAGTTGCAGTGGCTATCCTTTGGGGGCAATGGGGCTTACCTGGCATTTTAATTAAGCGCAAAAGTTTTATGAGCATTTCTTTAATGGCTGTACATAAATTCAGCGGAGACTCTTTCTGTCTAAAAGAGCAGTCGGCGGCCGCCTTTGGGGAGACAGATTCTGGTTGGAGGGGTTACAGAATCGGATCATAAAACGCACGGCAGGCGGCATTCGGCTGGCGATCATAAATGGAAAGTGAATTTTATGCCAATCATTAAACAAAGTAGTGAAAAAAGTGAAACGTTTTGTATAGCCGAAGTCGGGTCGTGGGTGTCTCTGCTGATATCTTTATCCCAACTTTGTAGCCTTATCGATTGCCGCCTGATAATTGTGTGACACAGTGTGTGCGGCATGGGGCAGCGGTAGCGGCCACACTTGAGGGTGTCATTCAACCCGCGTGGAGCTGCAACTGCAACTGCAACTGCAACTGGCATGCCCCCCTGCATGGCTGCTTCTATAATGTAACTCTATCTGGCAGATACGCAGGGTTTATGTTTATGGCAGTCACACACATCGACACTCATTGTTTGAACAAGCAACTGCAGTTCCACTCCACGCACTCAAAGTACCCATGAATCCATGAATATAAACCACATGAATCATTGGACAAACTTTTTGTGGATTTACTTGCAATCATTCATTCAATCATGCACAGTTTATTCATTGGTTCATTTGCAAATTCATTCATGAATTGTTTCTGTTGATTATTCATGAATGCCCGCCATGAACAACTACTCATGACCATTTTTTTCGGGTTTTTCTTTTCGAATTTTTGCATATCTCAAGGGCCCCGGACTGCGTTTCGGTTTGATTTATTTGCATATGCAACATCGAAATGCACTCACAGTGGCACCCCACCCCAGCTCTACCCTTGTCCCGCCCCCCACACAGAGTGAGATGAGCTTTTAAGTGGCCGACCCCTCGACTTTTCGGCTTTTGTTGACTCGGAGGAGAGGGCCCTGTGACTGCCCATCTCCTCCCCGAACTGTCACCAAAGTGCTCCACATTTTTTGTTATTTTTTGCTTTGTGTTTATTAACAGATGCCTCGTTCCTCCCTGGTGCCCTTCCGCCACTGCTTATCCAGTTTAATGGATTTTTAATGAGTCTCGAGCGGTGCTTTTGAGCGGCCTTTCGGCATCGCAGCGGAAAGTGCAGTTTCATTTGAATCCGCTTAATCCTGTTTCGTTGACTTTCGTTGAGTGGAAGGAAGAAGCTTCGAGAGATGTTAAGATTTCATTGAGGAAAGTGCCAATCAATCGTCTTTGGTCGTCAGTTGAACGTGAAAGGAGTTCACGATAAACATGCAATAGCTGAGAGTGACTGCGAGAACCAATCAGCAATGAAACAAAACAGAAATAGATTCCAATTTACCAATTCTTATGATGGCTATGCCGCTCACCAAGGCCGTGACCATCGTACAGATAAGAACCACAAAGTTGACCAGCAGCCAGATGCCTATATAGGCGGGCTTCTCCTGAATGAAAGATGGAAACTGTATCTAGTATCTCTCTTTCTCGAGAGAGACTTCGTAGCTCACCCTGATGGCGCCATAGATCAGCATTAGATCGTTGAGGGCCATCAAGTAGAAAGTGCCAGCGAAGCAGGCCACACATGTGCCGGTGTCCATTGTCCTAAAGAACTCGACTATGCTGTCGGGAAACGCATTGCTGGCCACCATATACCAGCCGTAGCTGCCGAGTACAATGTCCGTTAGGCCAAACAGACAACCCGTCAGGATGACACCCAGCCGCAGGGGCAGGCAACACAGGAACTTTGCGCAACGCACCATAGCCCCCGCAGAACTCACAAAATAATTTCAATTTTGATTGATTTGTTAGAACAATTTGATAGATTTTGGAATGTACACTTTGCTGGCAGAAGGTTCTGGTCTGCAACAGTTAGTTCTGGCCATAATCCCGCATACTTCAAGCTGGAGTACGTACACTATCGGTGGGTGGGTCTGGCTGTGTCTATCTAAGCGATTTCCAGGAATTCCATTGAGTGGCGGGCCCTCAGATCGCTGCCGTCTGGCCAACAATTCTTTTGATCAATTCCACTGACACGGAAGCGCCGCAGATATCAGCGACTGATAGCAGCAGACGCGACACTCGAGTGGGCGTCACGAGTCATGGCTAAAGTATTTGGCCCAGCCAAAGTAAGTCGCCAGCAGGGTCAAGGGTAGGGACTGGCATAGTCAACCCCAAAGAGCTAAGGTCGCTGGCCATTCCTTGAGGGGTTGAGATGGTGCTGGGTGGGGCTCCATCGATAAGACACTTTTCGACACCCAACTGTCGAGTGTTGTGTTTTGTTGTGTGTGTTGTTGAGAGGAGCCCAGTGCCACTTTCATTTATCGCCAATGGAATTTTAATTGAGTGAACGCGCAGTGTGCCAGGTGCCACTGCGATTTGGAATCTCGACCAAAGTTCAGGCTATCGACACCACTCGAGTAATCCCATGCGACTTCACCACGTTGCACGATAGCGAAATCCCTCCCCCAGTCCCAAGTACGTGACTGTACTGCCCTGACCTAAGCCACACACAGCACACTGATTGGCGCACCTTTTAGGGGAGTTCCCTGTGGATATTCACAACAAAAAAAGAAGTCATTGGTTGTGTGACCAGATAGTTGTCTTAACTGAACGATCGGATCCCCACGATTCCTTCTTTTGTGTCTTTCATTTTCGGGAAAAGTACAGTTGTGCGTTGAGCAACTGTTTGTGGCGTGTGGCAGAGACTTGTTTATCGTTTATCGTTTATCGCAAAATGTGTTCGCTTTGTTTTGTTAATCCAAACACACAACAAATTATTTGACAAGCGGAGTTAATTGATTGTATTCTCGTGCCAGGCTAAACATTTATCGATGATGGCACACGAGTGTACCCTGCTTTAATTTCATAACATCACGAAATTTCGTTGTACTCTTTCATCACATTTATATGGTCAAAGTTCGGACATACCCTAGGCCATGGGTGGGCGCTACAACTATTTCTGTGCTATAAATTCCATGGAAATGTATTGAAATTCCTGCACCATGAATGTCCGTAATCAAGAAACATATTTAAGCCATCGAAAGTAAGGTAAATTCCGTATTGTTTTGCTTTAGTGGTAGGAAAATTCCGCAGAACAAGTTGGGTAGTTCCTTCGAATTCGGAAACGAATGACAGATTAGGAATAGAATAAATGAAAAATTCTGTGGATCTAACAACAGATAAATGCCTTTTGCTTCCTTGATTTCTTTGTGCCCAACGACAGGTTGCCACACTTCTTTCTGTAGGGTCTTGGGTAGGTCTTTTGCAGATAAGACAAAATGCGTTTTGCAATAACGGGACGGAACGGAACGGAACGGAACACTCTCTATAAGACACACACACATGAAATAAATGTCTCTGTTTGCACTAGGAGACAACAACGTCGAGACAACATTGCGACTAGGTTGTTCGGGGGGTTCTTCGTTTGCCGTCTTGCGTGTTACAGGAAATAAACAACAATATAGTCAGTCGTAGGCAATGCAGCAGTCTAACACACACACACACACACACACACACCGTATTGTTGTGCTTTTATTGCAGTTTTTCCGTCGAAACATCCAAATCATGGCAGTACGTGTATCTATCTTAGGGAATGGATATGGCATATGGCAGAAATCATCATCATAAACTTTAGCTTCGTCTCTCGTTCTCGTTCTCGTTCTGTCAACACAAGCCACAATCACAACAAAAAGACCGCCTGCCGCTTCGCTCTCGCTCTCGCTCTCGATCTCCCTTTGTGGGCCGAGGAGGTGTGTCTTCTACACTGAGCGGAAATTTGGTTTCTGATAAAAAAGCAGCAACTGAAAGGGAGATTCACAGATTCCTGTGGGGCTTTTGAAAGTTTGTGCTACAGCGGAAGACAAAGCTGTTTTTTATAATTATTATTTTATGGCGGTTGGATCCATAAGTGGGTCATCATCTGCCGCTGACACAATGCGACTGCTATGATCCACCCCATTAACAATGTGGGTACACGGCCCTCCTTATGCACAACTAATTCAAATGGAACCATTTACTGTCGCTTCGGTAGCCAAATATTTGCTTGGTTCTACGATAAGCTCAGAGCAGACCCCTAAATCGATTATCACTTTTGATGGCCTGCCAGAAAGAAGCACAAAAGGCGCGGGCGGTCGGGCGCTTATCTAAGTGCGCAAATAGCAAGTAAAGTTGGGGAATTTCGCTCAGTGCAACACTCGGACTGTCATTCAATGGCAAGACAGGCACTTTTATCGATGGGGAATACGATGGGGGAGCAAACGAACGAAGAGAAATGCGTGTCAGATACGACAGGCAAAGGAGCAGGCAGGGAGGCACACCGCCAGACACCACCATAATCGTATCTACCATAACGCTAACAAATAATAACAATAATATATGAAAAATAATAATTGTGTGTCTCAATGTTTACTCTAGATGTCAGCGCCTAGCGCCAGGTGCCACAAATGACTGGTTTCTTCTTCCATTTAGATACAACACAGGGGCAAGCGGCAGGCCACAAGCCCCACACAGCACACGCAGCACACGCAGAACACAAACCACAACCCACAACCCACAATTGGGTTGTCAGTATCTTTATATATTAATCAATAAGAGCAGCCATCAGCGATAAGATTAGAACTGGAGCTTCGTCTGTTGGCTCCGTCCTCTGGCACAGGCAGAGGCACAGGCACAGGCAGGAGTGGGTGGGTGGGTGGCCGGCAATTCCACCATTCCAGCCCCGTGGCGAACATTTTGGGCATTCGAAATGATAACATTTCACGCTGACATTTGCCCGAAACTAAACGAGTGATAAATCTAATGTTTGTCCAGCATTTACTACGTACAAGTGGACTGCCATCCAGGGCTCCTCCATCAAGATTTTTCGCATGTGGTCATAATATTTACATAAACCAAAGGGAGGGAGAGGGAAGCATTTGGCAAACCAATTTGTTATTCAGAGTACTAAATATACGCCTCGGTTCGTTTTGAGTGTGAATGGTTCGTGGAAACATCTGCGGCACTTGCAATTTTCTATAATTAATTTCCAATGGTCCAAGGTTATGCAACAGCACAACTCCAGCATCCACTATTTCTGCCCAATTTGTCTTCCTGTTGTGGGTTCCCTTATTGATAACGAATGGCAAATGTACGACGGAGTAAATTCATATAAGTAGCCTTTTATATAAGATATAGCCATAGACCCCACCAACAGCAATTGTTTTTACTGCCCGTCATAAATATGAATGTTGTAAACGGGGGAGCCAACCAAAGATGTTATGGAACACTGCTAATGTCACTAAACAAAACAACAACAAAAACCATCTGCAAGACCATTTGCAGAACGAAGAAAATTGCATTATTTGCTCAGACATTAGCCAAGTCAACAGCACACAAACACAAACACACACACACACACACACACACACACACACACACACACACACGATGCATAGAAGCGGAAATTGTGTGCGTGAAAGCCGGAAAGGTAGTTTACAGAAGAAAGCCTTTTAAGGCGGCTAAATAATTCTCTAGACTCCCTCTCTCTCCCTCTCTCTCTCTCTCTCTCTGGACGGAACAGCAGCATAAATCAAAATAAATGTCCTTCGGGGTCTTAGTTATGTTATGAAATCATGGCATCGCAACGGAATCATAAGGTATTCATATCATTATGTCCAGAATACTTTTATTTTGGGTCAAAACATTCAACGATAAGGCGGACTCCCTACCTACCCGAAACGATTACAGATTGGGCAATCCACTTTAAGGATACTTTCGGGACTAGAAGTATCTCTAATTAAAGCTTGCAAAAACCCCAATTGGAATTATCTTTTTACACACAATTTTGTACCCTAAAGGCAAATTGTTTTTCGCGTCTTTATCTGCCACCGAACACCATTTAAGAACTTCCCCGATTCATAAATGCTTGTCAGAGTGATTGTAAGAAACACGTGTTCTTTTTCGCCAATGCTCTCCCGCGCTATCGTCGAGCACGTTTTTAAAACGCGACAAGAAAACTTTCCGCTGTTGACCAAAACAATGCCCGATGTCAGAGATTAGTGCGCAGAAAGCACTAAAAAAAACAATAATCGAAGGGAAGCGAATCTAAACGAAACAATAACAAGTTTTGGATACATTCTGGGGGCTATGGTGTGGCCTTGATGGCGAAACAGATTTTCGAGGCTACTAACGAAAGAAAGTTTGGCCAACAAATTTGGATTCTTATCTGGCAACTTACATATAGCTCGTGGTATTTATAGGGGGTAATTCTCGGCACCAAGAAGTATGTGTATTTGTACTATATAAATGTATATCTAAACGTAGATTTGATGCCGTAGCCGCTGCTGCTTCTCCCGGTCGTTTTGCTGGGTGCTGCCTCCCCACCATCTATTGACAATTCAATTAACGTTTTGAAATAATTTCATGATAAGCGCCACAATTGGGCGCACAGCACCAGCACACCTAATAAGAGAAACACACAGTAAAAACAGTCGTAATAAAACACCAGAGCTGGGGCAGAGAATGGGGAACACACACGGCAGTGGCAGCAGGCCCGACCAGACCATTGATTGAGCCATAACCTGAGCGCTCTCAACATCTTGCTGAGCGATAAAAAACGAAATTTTCTATGGATATTTTAATAATTTCTACCCCTGGCAACCAGTTCAAGGATTTCACTTAGCCTCTGCACTAATTTCACTTTAATTTCTGCACATAAACCATTTGCAATCCACTTGCACGACAGCGAGTTCTGCTTGGGAACAAAACTTAGTTCCGTTCAAAGTTTCATTCCGAAATGTAGGAAATTAAGAGAAAAGATAATGGAAAGTTTCCGAAAATGACACAAGTGAAATCCCCGTGTTATCTGTTTGCGTGTCTGGATTTCATTGATGAAACGATTCACACAGAACAAGAGGAATCGCTGGCAGCCTTGGGGAAATGCCATTAAAGACATTGCCCAGTGATAAGATAGATGATTCCACAACGGAGAGTGCCACAGAACTTGAAGCTAATTCTGGAATTAAAATCCAGCCGCATGAACCATTATTTTGAGTTTCAGAAAAGCTTTTCGTCATCGATACTCGAGTCATTTTTTTGCGTTTTACACCTAGATATCGGGTGTTCCAGCGGTGTCTGTCTGTCTGTCTGTCTGGCCGTCCGCCTGGCGCCAATCAAAATATCGACGCTATCAAGAGAAAAGCCCCAGCACTAAGCCATCATAAAAAGCGCCGCTAATTTGGCCCTTGATTGCCCATTTATTTGCTCGGCACACGCTCATTGCCACCATAGAGGTGATGGTGATTCCCGTGTAAATATTAACCCCTTGCCACTGTTCCACCTGTGCATTAGATATATTAAAATTCTGCCACCGATTGCCGGTGGCCCATCCATCCAGCCAGCCATCCATCCATCAGCTATAAAGAAGCCTTCAATCCCATGGCTTATAGGCAGTCCATTCCATTCCTTCGACTGTCGCACTGAGTCAGCAGTTTAGCTAGCGCTTCAGAGGCCAATAATAAAACTGTGATTTATCTATGCGAATTCAGAGCAAGAACTACATTTTTGAGTGCATTTGGAGTAGCCGCATCACGTGAGTAAATAGAAGACATTTTATGTGTGAAAATGATTTGCTGGCATAAAAAAAGTGCAATGAAAGTGCAGTCAAGAGCGAGGATAGTTTCCCATGAAGAGATACATTTATATCTTAACCATACGCCATGTGCTACCATCTGACATCTATTCAAATTAGATTTACATTTAGAAATCTGCGAAAATATATAAATAAATCGAAACAAAACATAAGAGAAAAAAAACTTCCTCAATTGCAAGTGGAATTTCGTTTCGCATATCCAAAAATACTGACTGCCGTCTCAGAATTTGCATACTCGAGTGAATGCGAAATGCTAAATGCTCAAAATGTGTTGTATAAGAGGTTCAGGTACTCGGTCTCGTAGATGTTTCTCGCATGCCTAGGGCATGAGGAATACACTTGAACGGCAGCAGCAGCAGCAGCAGCAGCAGCCAGCACAATATAAAAATGATTCCAATCGCTTCGAACAATTCAATCAACTCGAAGCGAAGTCTCAAGTCTCCAGGTCTCGGCCTGAAGCTCAACCTCAACCCTCAGAGCGGACCTACCTCCGCCTCGGAGTGCCAACGCATGCCAAAATAATTTGCAAAAAATACGTACATTTAGAACAAATAAGTAAATAAATGATGCGCGCACTCATTACTTGTAAATACTGGGAAAATTGAATGGAAAGATTGCCTCGAAACGGAACTTCGAAGCGAAAAGACGTCGCCAAATGTTTGTTTCACGCCCGAGGAATTTCAGTTATTTCAGTTATTTATTTCGGCACATTAACAACAATCGGCAGACGGCACACACACACACACACCGGGGGCATGGCATACCTCAAAAATTGATTGCCAAATAAATTAATGTGTACAAATATTACCAAGAGTCGTCGGAAGGCAGAGAGGAAGATGTGCGGTTCGTTGGAATGGAAAAACAGTATAATTTAATTAGCGATCGCTTGTTGCTTGTCGTTTTCGATTTTGTATAATTATTTACTCGACATTTCCATTGTAGTGGCCTGGAGTTTCTTTTCTCGTGCAAATATTTACCCAATCAATCGCCAATTGATAGCAATTCCTCTGATTTTTTAGGGCTATTCCCTTCCAATTGGCGGAGGGTGGGGTCCGTGGCTCTCCCACGCGATGATATAACTGCTTCGATAGTACGCATATTATCGAATATTTGCACACACGCTTCGGTACTCAATGTTGCCCCTGAAGGGCGGCGTCTCATGTGGCATGCCAATATTTGGATTCTAAATATCGTACCGCATCGCTTCGTACATTTATCAAAGCATCAGCATTGGGCGCGAATATTGAACCCGCCAAGGGGAGTCACGGTCGGCGACAGTCAAGGATGGAAATGACTCTCATCTGAGACGGGACGGAACGGGACGGATATGGTGTCATCGATGTATCAGCATGGAATTCCCAGGCAGGGCCTTAAACATCTAAGCGATAAAGGTGGGCAAAGGCAAAGCACTTACCATCAGGAGGTAAATAATCTTGGCATAGACCGTAAGCTGTGGTAACCTGAAAATAGAAACAACATTTAATAGAATTTGCATATAAATTAAAGATTAAAATCATTCCTTTTAATCGTCAATCTTTGTTAATTTCATAGTTAACCCAAATTTAATGACTGACAATTGTCAGCTTTGCTGTGCGTTGATAATTGAAAGCGCAAACCGCAAACCGCAAACCGCAACGAAACACCCACCCAAAAGTCGCACAAATTATATTTATTTGATATTCGTTTATGTGGAGCACACAGGGCACACCTGAGACAGAGATAAATCACCTTTTGTGACACTACAAATGAGCAGGAGAGAGAGAGAGAGAGTTGTGCACACCATAAATTGGCTTGAATTTATTATGCAATTAGTTCAAGACTTGTGCCAAGCAGTAGCCAAATGTCAGTGAGAAATGGCCAAGGAATTCCGTAGCCCAGGCGTAGACCTTGAGGCGAAAGTTCTGGCCAAAATGGAGGCCAAAACAGGGGCCGAAAAGTGAAAGGATATCGGACATCTGGTTTTCCCCATGCGCTGATTTATTTCAGATCCGACCTTGGCTTGCAGCACTGAAAACTTAAGCACTTTCCAGCGGAGAAACTTTTGTGGCATTGCGAGCCGTGACCCCTTGGCCCACTCGAAATTAAGAAACTCGTATTGGAATTTCTTCGCATTTTTCCATTTAATAGAACTTTATGTCCAGCGTGAAAGTGGCAACCAGCCGACGCAGTCCGCCCCTGGGCCTGCGATAGTAGTTGGTGTTTTGGACACGATAGAAGCCGGGTCGCAAATACCCAGGAATGCTGTGGTTGTCCATGTGAAGGTTGCGCAGGTCGTAGAAGCCCTGCGGGCGAAGAGAGAGAGAGAGCTCATAACTTGCCATAGATCACAGACAGAGTGCTACGTACGGGCTTGATGGGACAGCGGGTGGCCAAGTTTCCATACTTGAAGACATTCTGCAGCCACACCTTCATGAGACTCGCCTGCATGAGCTCCTTGAGGGTCCTGCATGTGTCCATGTCGTAGCTGAAGAGCGTCTGATAGCGCGTGGATTTGGAGACACCTGCCACTCGCTGCAGCAGGGTCATGCTGGTGCGCATTCCCTGCCTGAGTGTTCGATTCAAATGAATGTCCATGTTGAGGTCACCCTGCGGCGTCAGCCAGGCTCTGAGGCTGCTGCAAAATTCCGCACTGTACTCCACGCTGATGTTGGTGAATTTACTGCGCAGATGATCCTCTTTGGAAGGCCATGGAAAGCTTGTTTCAGCCGTGTGTGTTAGGTCTTTGAGGCATTACTTACTGTACGGATTGGGGGCTGCAGAACCCAGTTGAACGCCATGGAGCAGCAGCAGCAGCAGACACAGCAGGAACATTGCTGACTGCTGACTGAAGCTCAAACACTAATTGCTCACTGATCCAATAAGCATTTTTGTGCACAGTAAATCCAATCATTAGTGCGGCACGAATGGACACAACTTCCAATGATTGTGTTGTGTGTGTGTGTTTGAAAGTGTGAATGAAACGAAACATTTTCGCAGTCATTAACTACGTTCGCCATAAATCAATCAGCAGTCAATGCATCAATCCATCAATCAGCTGGCCATCAATCTGTCGTGGGTTGTCCACACTTTGATCCACATCCACATCTGTCTGCCACATAAAGAGTCAAGTTCAGTTGGCGCCTGGCAACTGCAACGGCAAGCGGGAAGCGGCGTGCGGTCCTAACCGTAAAGCAACACTGAAAGTTGTTGCATGCCACATGTGTCGCTGTTGCTGACGCTGACGCTGACACCGCTGTTTGGTTTGCTGTTTTGGCTGTTTGGCTAAGCGGCGTTTAATTGGAAACACAGTTGGGTGTTGCTTTTGACCGGTCCTGCGGCTGAATCTGAATCTGTATCTGCATCTGCATCGCTCTGGCTGCGGCTGCGGCTGTCTCTGCCACAGTCGGCTGTCTTCATCATGTGGGGCATCAACTTTCAGCAGCCTTGTGGACAGCTGATGGACATTGGACATTTGGCCATGTTCTTGGCTCCGCTCCTCGAAAAACCCGTTCAAAAGGCGACCAAAAATATTACGCATACGTCGCGGGGCCAAAAGGAAATGTTTGCCTTGTTTTTTCACCTTCACTCCCCTTCAAATCACGCCCCTCCCCATCTCTCTTTGGCCTCCTCTTGCCACTCGCTTAATTGCTGAGCCGCGTGGAACGTTTAATTGCAAATTATTCAAATGCCTCTGCCACTGCCGGTGCTGCTGCAGCAGTCGCTGTCATTGCTGTCATAACCAGTCGACGGCAGCCGCCACGCCCTCCAGCTCCCCACCAACCACTCATCCTTCCGACTTTGCAATTATGTCTCAAATTAACACAGCAGCACAGCCGCAGAGCCCCCCCCCGAGCAGCAGCAGCAGCAGCAACAGCAGCCGGAAAATGCTGGAAACAAGCAGCGAAAAGTTCTCTTCGAGAACCCGATGCTGCGGATACTCTAGCAAATAAATTGCTCTTGGCACGTTCTCTCTCTCTGTTTGGAATGTTTCTGGTTCGTTTATATTATTTTACGAGTCGCAAACATCTGCTCAAAGGCGTCATACCCATTGGGAAAATGTAACAAAATTCCTCACTTTTTGCAGTGCGGCTGCTGCTGCTGCTGCTGCTGCTGCTGGCTGTTGTTATTGTCAAATGAAATTAGGCGTGAAATGTCGTTTGAACTTTGGTGGAAATACTCGTACGAGCAGCAGCAGCAGCAGCAGCAGCAACGTTCACAAGTGTTATTTATGGATTTGTACGAGCTGGCACACGTGAATATATGCACTCGGCAACCATCGATCGATGCAACGCTTATTGTTGCCATGTTGCCTCTCAAACAATATCAATATTTGATATTTCTTTGCAATATTGATAAAGAGGCAAAGAACACGGCCATATCTATAAAGATAAACCGAACTTACGGCCTGCACGAGGCAGTGAAAGGTCTCTAAAAGTAAATTGTTTTGCATGTACTTCTGATTAAGTTAATTGCAGCAGATTAAGGACAAGTCTTTGGTGGTTTCTTTAGTTTTTATTGAATTTAAAGCTGAACTTAAGTTTAACTTCCACCACGAATCGCCGTCCAATGCTGCCTGCCATTCCACATGAACGCCGCAACATTGCAGCTGTGGATGTTGCTGCTGCCTCCCGCCTACTGCCTGCTTCTCAGGTTGCATTTATATGCAAATAACTAAAATTGTTTTCAATTTGCCACTGCACGCGCCTTGGCCATCGAATGTCCAACGTTTGCCGTTGCCATCGACGTCGCATTCCTGTGAGCCAACTTGCAGCTAATTTTATGGCTAATTGTCTGCCAGCCTGCCTCAAGCTGCTGCCACGGCTGCTGCTGCTGCTGCTGGTGCTGCTGCTGTTGTTGGCCGCATTGATTGCTGATGAAGTTGTGATATTTGCGATAAAAAATGTATGTGATAAAATTATTGAGCATGCAGGCTCAGGCTGGCAGGAATTTCTTAATTGTCAGAACGACTCGCTGCTGCTGGAAAACTAATACGGGAAAGAGCTTCTCACGCACAAGGACAACAGCTCCCAAAGAGTCCCACCATAGAGCGCGAGGCGTGCCATTAGCGGCAAATGTCAAAGCGATGTGGACAGCTTTTAATTAACTTTATGCTCGTAATCGTAATCGTACTCTCGGGTGCGGTTCGCCAGCAGGAGGATAATGGAAAGGACGGACTGGTGTCTAACCCAGATTCCAAATGGACTGACAGCCGCTGTCAATAAAACGGAACTGCTTTTGGGCCATTCGGAAGTCAATCAAGCGTAATGGGAGCCAACAAAACGACTGCAATGCAGTAGGCGAAAACACTTTTAAAGGAATTGAATTTCTCGGAACTTCACTGAAGTGCTCTGTCAGTGCTTGATTTTTGGACCCTGTGGATTGAATCACAGTTCCAGATGGGTACCCAATGCACTTGACGGGAATGATGCAGATCTTCTCTATATATAGCAATTTCCCTATTCCCTGGAAAACTGCGTGTTATCCATTAGATCACGAGGCCTACACGCTAACCCGTAGCCCGCTTTTGGATCTATTTGGCCGGGCACACGCCCGTCAACAAACAACAAACAAACACTAGAGACCCAAGCGATCCAATCGATCCGAAGATCGAATCGAATGGAAAATGCGCAGTATTGGCCATGCAATGCAAATGTGATTTCTATTTTGAACGGCATTGTAATCGGGAATGTGTAATGCCATTTTTCTGATTATAAAATCATTCCAGTTTCGGTGGATAAAATCTTTTACAGGGGCTTGATGAATGGCCAGCCAGCAAGGTGTCGAGTTGATTTATCCCATAGTTTATTTGGATTGAATAATATGCTGTGCCTTGCGCTATAGGATAATATTACATCAACGGGTGAATGGGTGAATGGGTGAATGGCTGAATGGAGGGGAGGTCGGTCGAGTGCTGTAATCTATGGTTTGATCTGAGGGGAAACCAGTTTAACGGGCATTGGCAACGACTGAGAACAAGTTCATTGAAATATAGGGCTGATTAACGGTAATATGCAAACATCAATATGTAAGCTAAGATTAGATGCCATCGATCATGCTGACATCTTAATTTTAGTGCCCCTTCCCCGATTGCCAAATTTCCGCCATTTCAAATACAAATTTCAAGCCATTGCAATCTCCTCATAAACTTATCCGCCATAACATCATCATACACCAGCATCATAATCATCATCATTATCATCTTGTCGAATTGTCATTTAATAAAGTGCTAAAAGCCAGCCGACAGTCACAGAAACAACAACGCCAGCAGCAACAACCACAACTACATATTTGAGTTCCATGCAATGACAATGACCGACAAAGGGGCGGCGGGGGAGAAGTAGCAGAGGGAGATTAAATGCTATGGATAGTGCCCAGTGCCAATGGCATGGGGGAGGGAGAGCGGGCGAGTGTAAAGTCATCTTAACGTCTCTTTCCACTTTACAGTTAGATATGAGCAAATGTCGATGCAATTCAATGTCAATGCAATGCAACGGAGCGGGGGTGGGTCTGTGTGTCTGTCCTCCTCTGGCACTGTCTGTTCGCCGCGCTCCTCCTCTCTTCGTCACTCTCCCACTCCGTTTGGCACTCTGGCAATCATGCTCGAATCTTCCTCTCCCCCACCAGCCACTCAGGCAATCATACTCGAATGTACACTCTCTCGACCGCCCTCTCCCTCTCAAACTTGATGGTCTGTGCTTTTGCTTTTAGTGGGTTCATGACATGTCCGGACATGTCCGAACATGTCTGCTCAATGCGTTGTACCCTGGCAGAGGGTTTAGCGATTTTAATAGAGATGTTTGCAACGCCTCTGCGTTTACACTTTTAGGCAAGAAATTTTATATAAGCTGATTGGATAAATATGTATTAACAACAACATAAAGTGCGTTTTATTCTGCAACTAAACGTTGCAAAGCAAACAAATGTTAACAAATTCAACTGCAAATGTGTAGTAGGGTATTCAATGCCTCGGCGCCCGACATGTTTGTGTTTGTGTTTATGTAAATATCTAATAATTATTGGCGTCTAAATGTTTTGCCTGTAATTACAATACAATCGCACACTCATGTACAGCCATGGTGGCGCCCGCAATGAGAGTATAGACATATTTGTGTTTTATGTTTCTGTTGTTGTTGCTTTTTCACAATTAAATCAAGCAATTAAACGGCAATTGAGCTTTGTTTGTGGTATGAGTGGGTGATGAGGGAAGTGGTGCAAGTGTTGAGTTATGTTATGTAAAATAATGAACATGGAAAAGGGAACATTTTTATGGAGTAGAGTAATCAAATGAGATACCAAATGAACTGTTATTGGCATTGAAAAAACACTCTTTGCTTTAGTCTAAAACCTTCTTAAGCTCCTTTAATGCCCTTTACAAGAGCCCTCGCTCGCTGTATGATTGCCTCTGCCCCCTTTTCGCTGCCTGTAATCCCCCATAAGCCATGCAAATCGATGCCTTAGTCATACCCATTAAATGTTTGGGTAGCTTAGGTCAGGAATGCAAAACAAATTACAAAACAGAAAAAACGAGAAAATAACTTAGATAAAATAATTGACGGCAGGGTTTATTTTTAGTCGATGTCTAGACCGGCAAAATATTTCGCTATTTATTCGATAATTATTGTTTATTTATCAACATGATTTTTGGTTTTGTTGCTTCTGTTGTGCCTCTCTCCCTACAAAACCCATTCGTGTGGAAAGTGCTAAAATGTGGAAATATTTTCCCACCAGTTCTCCTGCGGGAACAAAGGCGCCGTACATGGAACGCCCACACTAGGCAGCATCGGAGCAGCAAGTGCTTCCGCAGCGCATCCTTTCACTCAGCTCTTTCCCATGATCATCTGCTGCCTGGGCAGCCCACGTTCCCAGCTGACAAATTGGCAAACACGCAGCCAACAGACAAAACACGACACGACTCGCACAATTCATGATCAAGTGCAATCTTTTTGACATTAATATGACAACTGCAGCCAGAATGCGAATACCGTATAAAGGAACCACTGGGCATGACTTCAGATCCAGACCCGCAGACCCATGCGGAAAAAAATCAATTATGCGCACGAGGCACAAAAGCCGTAGCAGTGCCATGGAATGACAACTGCGAATGCAACTGCAACTCCACTGCGAAACTCCCGCCAATGATTGAGTATGCGACACAGACACAGACACAGGCAGCGAACGCTGCAAAGTGGCGAACGCTGATGAATGTCTGTCAAATTGTTGACACGCCACACGGACAGCAGACGATGGACAACGGACGACGGACTGCAGACGCCGATGGAGGAGCAACACTGACGCTGACATTGACACAATGTACATGGAATGCAGCAAGGGAGTCCACCAGGAAGCTAACAAATGGAGGGTCGACAAAGGGATACCCAGGGAAAATGGCAAAGAACAAAGCTGCACAATTCTACCTATTATTTGTCCATTCTCTTTTAGGTATTACACATAAAAGTAAATGTCTTAGACACCCACTCTCAAGGGAACTCCACTGGAGAGGCGACAAAGTTGCACCATGATGATCATAATCAACAACGGCTGATGATGATCATTCGTGGAAATATTTCATGCCATTTAATTTCAACTCCCAACGCTGTCTGCCTCTGTCTGTCATCTAATTGAGTTGTTGGCCAGAGCCCCCAGAGTCCCCATAGGCACATAGCCACCAGCTATAGCTCGTAGCCAGAGTTGGGTATAAATATTTATCGGCATATTAATGCAGCATATTTCAAATGCAAAGTCGACTCGCATCTGACTGACTTACTTCCTCAGTGAGCGAGTGAGCGAGTGAGCGAGCGAGTGCCTGGGAAACATGTTTATGCAACTCCACAGCCAGCACTCCACTCCAATCTATCCACCCGGCTGGCTACACTCTCTTCCATCTTCCATCTTCTATCCCACCATCCATCCTCCGTCTTATCAAATGATTTTATTTATGCTATGGGCGCGCATGTGTGTGATAATTGGATTATTTACTTTCGCGGCTTAGCAGCATCCAGCTGAGGAAAATGGGAAAATTGTCGAGTTTTCGCTTTCTATTAAGTCGCTAGCCGGCGCACAGAGTGACAGGCTGAGACGCCCCGCCCAGTACATGGCCGTAGATGATGAGGCACTCAATTTTCCAATCACTCGACTTCGAATCAAGAAAAATCTATTACAAATGTTGTCATATTATGTAACATAATTAAAACTAATAGAGTTTTGCTTAAGGAAAACAGAAGAATTCAAAAGTTCTGCGAATTTTAGTCAAGTTTGTTTCGGGTTTGGTTCGCAAGTTAAATGGCAGACACGACGGCCCATGACGGGAGTCACTAATCAAGCGAGTTCCCTTCCTGTATAACAACTCCCACTCGCGCTCCCAATTCTCATTCCAGCTGCTTGCTACTGCCCCACTGGCAATGTCCAGCCGTTTGTTACTGTCCCCAGAAGTACAGCCAGTGGAGCAGCAGGAGACCCTCTGGGGCACTGCCGCCACGCCACCTTCGTCGGGCTGGCATTAATATGTATGAGCGGGTGTCAGGAGGCAATGCCACAACGCGTTTATCAAACATTTGAAACATGCGTCGACGCCGACGACGCTGCTGTGCTGCGCCCCTCTCCACTTCGATGGTTGACCCAATTATCGGGGCATTATCAAGTCGTAAAGCATACGGGGAGACGTGTGTGCGGTGTGTGGGCCAATTGGCAAATAGAAGCCAGGCCAAAGACACAGATATAGAGAGTGGGGGAAGTCATGTCTGCCTGCCTGGCTGGCTGGATGGATGGGAACCAGCCTAACGCCACATCCTATTAGGTATGCAAGCGAAAATCGGTTGAAATTCATAAATCACAAATCACTTAGGCACCCCACCTCCAACTCCAACTGGTAGCCGGGACAGGGCTGTTGTGTGGTGTGGGGTCTGGGGCAATGGTCATGTTTTTTTGCGATAATATTGACAAATTGTGCAAACATTCGCACACAATTAATAAACGGCAACGCAGATGGAGACATAAACGCAGTGGCACTCACACACACATTGTCCGCCCACGTGCTGGGCCCACGCGTGTCCCCCAATGCAGGGGGAACTAATCCGAAATCAAAGCGAAACAAAGACAAAAGCGGACATGACAACATAATTCCAGGAGTCAGGCGCCCGACCCATGGCGCTAACTAAAAATAAAAGAGAATGAACGGAGGAATGTCGCAAAAGTGGCACAGTGGAACAAGCAGTCTCAGAATAAATGCTAATAGTATTTTCAGCTAGAAATTTGTGTGCCCAGCCCACTGTGCCACACTGTCCCTCTCTCTGACTCTTCTCTGCTGTTCCATCGGCAATCAAAGCACGTAAGAGGCGCCCACACAGAGGCGAGGAGAACTCTGGATTCCACCCGTGAGTTGGCAACTTTTTTTAGCCGATTGAGTGACCAAAAGACCGCTCCTCATTCCACTTCCGCTGTGGAGCAGACAGGCAGACAGAGCCCTGGGGCAGATCTGGACTTGGACTTGGACTCGGACAACATTTTGATTGATGAATGCAGCATGAAGCCGCCTGCATGCCTGCAGCCTGTGAGCGGCCTTTGATGTGGCACTCGACTTTCGTTTTTCCAACTAAAGTCGCAAATTTATGCCGACATCTGCCGTAACTCGTATGTTCAGGCCAAGTCTGGGCTGGTAAGCGGTAAGCGGTAAGCGGCTTAGAGGCCCACAGGAAGCCACCGCGACAGACATTTGTGTTGACAAATCAATTAAATGCGATATTTAGAGGCACACAAAACAGTAGCAAAAACATCCACAACATCCCAAGCGCCCAACGGAGGCACGCAAGCCAACATCAAACTAGGACTCGGAATTGAATCGAATCGAAGCTCTCCTTAGGCTAAGAAGAACCCACTGAAAAAACCAGAATGTGGCCAGGCCGTAGAAGTTGTCGACGCTTATCGAAAACATTTATCCGGCCATGCGAATCGTAAAGTGTGAAAACAAATTGCCAAGAGCCCCCGAGCTTGGCCAAAGCGTCGAGTGGGGGGTTGAGGGGTAGGCAAACTCATTGCAGCCGTCAGATAATTGCACTCGATTTGTAATTCAAGATTAAGGGCACTCCGACCGAGCTGGAGTTGGAGTAGGAGTTGAAGTCCAGAGCCCCTCGTAAGCCAAATTTACAAGGCGAGACAGCTCGTCCGTTTTTCCGATTTTGCATGTAATTTATGTGCAGATCTCTTTGTTTCTGTCTGTTTCTGCCCCGATAATCGCCTAAAATGTGGGCCATGAGTTAAGTGATTATGTAAATTTGTTAGCTGTCCGATGTTCGATGTCCGATGTCCGTTGTTGGTTGGTGATGGCATAACCTTCAATTGCCGGAGGAGATTGGATTTCGAAAGGCCAAAATTGATTGGCAATCTTTAAGGCAGAACATTGTTCGAAGTTACAGCGAAAGTGGGGCCTTTGCTTAGAGTTTAACTATATTTTATGGATATCTAAACTTCTTAAATGTATCTGTATTATAGGAGTAGTTATAAATGGCATTCTGTACTTACATCGTATTTACTTGACCTCATTTTACCCATTTATTTTGCATCTAATTTGCATTCGTATTTCGTCTACGTTTCTCTGTTAAATTCAAACCGCGCTAACATTTAGAAATCGATTTCGTTGAATTCGCTTCCGAGTGGTTTTCCTTTTTGGATTACAAATTGATTTTCGAATTTTGAACACTTTTGTTTTGCAATTGATTTAAGCACTATTTCTATTCGATTAATTGATTATTTAATTAAGAGATAGAAGCCTGATTTGGATATTGTTGAAACAGTCTTTGATAATAGTTTTTTATATGTTTAGTTTATTGTTTATTCAGTTGTTGGATTTTCGTTGGTAATGGCGTGAGTTGGGAGGCGACTGCAAGAGGCGAAATTTCTCCAAAAATGAAAAGCATTACTCATGCGACACGTGGCACGGGGAAAGCAGCAGCTGACTGACTGAAACCGAAACTGAATCAGAAACGAAGAGGCAGGCCCGGCCCCCAAATATCGCACCGCACCGCCCACAGCAAGTCAGGGGTTCAGGGGAAGTGGTGGCCGAGGCAGAGGCAGCGAACTACCGAAATACAGGCCAGAGGCAGGAAATCCATAACGATTCCCAAAAACCCCTCGCCCCGAACGACCGACCGACGACTGTTACTTTCAGCTGGGGCAAAACTGTTTACGATTTACGATGCCCCAAGAGTCCGGAGTGCTCTCGTTCTCGTTCTCGCTCTCTCCCACTCTCTCTCTCTCTCTCTCAATCGCTGTATAGCTCTGTCTCGCTCTATGTCCGTGCCACGTTTCGCCGTGTGTTGTTTTTGTGGGAAAAATCGTTAGGCAGCAACAAAAACAACAACCGAAAACTGCACGGAATCGGATGGCAATGCGGACAGACGCGGACGGGGCGGGGGGCGGGGGGCGGCACCAGCAGCCACGTGAAAAATGCCGGAAACAGAAATCGATTTGCAGTCAAGAAAAACCCCCAACGGAGAGGGGTACACGTGTGGGGTGATGGGATCGGAAGGCGATGTTATGTGTGGTCCGATATGGCGTGAATCCCTTGCCGATTTGCACTAATCTTTAAGGTTTCCGTTCTCATCGGTCCGGGCCGGGGCAATTATGTCACTCGCGCAGCGCTCGAAAGTAGGCAACGATTACGGCTCCATTTTCAGCACTTTTCCGACACTTTTTGAAGGGCAAAAAAATGATTGTCCAATCCTGCTGGAATTTAATTTCTGTTCCTCGCTATGGACTACCCTTGCTGCCACACTGCCACTCCAGCTGCCACTGCGCTGCTGCTGCTGCTGCTGGTGCTCCGGCTGCTGCTGCTGCTGCCCGACGCGCTGAAAATTCACGTAACAATTGATTTGTGTGTCAAAAATGTCACAAGTGTCAAAGGCGCGTGGCAGCGGTACAGCGTACTGCGCTGCGTTGAACAGAGCTGCCAAAAGAGAGCACACGTGCAGCAGTGACCAGAGAGCGAGAGTCAGAACTGCGCTGCTGCGCACAGAGTGGTGGCCAAGGTGTATACGTACAAGCGGAAGCTTTTCTGCTCTTCACTTTCCTGCGACATCCGGAAGAGCCATTTCTGCGAATTCCTCACCTTGCATTCATCTACTTTGGGGCAGAGTAATCAAGCGAGAGAGCCACCAACACGTGTGTGTCCTTTCAAAAGAGAAACTAAAATTTAAGCAGATGCAGAGACAGAGCCTGTGCAGAGATTTTGTTCTGATCAGTTCTGCTGCCGAACGATCAGGAAGTAAATCAACAAAAATAGCTATCTTTCGATCGATCTTTCTTGCCATAAAACTTCAACATTGCAAACACAAATCAAATGTCTATTTTATATGGTACCCACTGTAGGCTGCAGCGTTTATGAATCACTTGACCATCCCCCCAGCAAACCAGCGAAAACCATACTTTAAATCCTCAAAAGCTAAGCCAAAAAGGGGTTCGCTTTGGTTTGGTTCGTTTTTCGTCTATTCCTTGTGATCCTTGCTAAACGGCTTAAAAGGCTCAAATGTTCCTGAGGCTTTCTTTGCTAAGGAAACAGGGTGGCTGTTGCTAAATGGTCGCGCGGTTGCCAAGAAGGTGTTAAGTCTACACACGCACAAGCACACACACACACACACACGGACGGACACACTCAGCGTTATGCTTTGACTCATTCAATGGCCAGCAATTTGCATAATTAACTTTTGGTTTCTTCTCTCTCTCTCTCTCTCTTTCTTTCATTGTCGTTTGATGATTCGTAAATTTGTTTTTGTTAATTTTTAATTTTTTAAACGCGAGCAAGCTTTTGCCTGAAAGTGAGTCCGTCGTGTTCGTGTTGGAGACTCAGATCCATCCGCGCCGCGATTGGGTGTCTCTGTTTGTTGTTGGAAGAATGTGAAGAGAGGCACAAACTGGCCGACGACCACCAGGCAGCGGTAGGCTGCACTGCTGCTGCAGACTGAGGCAGAGACAGAGAGACCGGCTGACTTCTGCAGAGTCGCGTGAGTCGAGCTAAATGTGGAGTGCGGGTGGGTGGGGCGAGGTTTCGTACTCACCACTTGAGGCTAATAAGAAGAAAAAAATACAGAACAGAGACAACAACCACAAGAAGAACCGCAAGTTGAGCGAGTTGATTGCAAGCAAAGTATATCAATGTAGGGGTGCGACATTCCGTATAAGTTCGGTCTCTGTGCTAGCGCCACTTGTGCACAGGTTCAGTCCAGCAACGACAGAAAAGTACCAAGTGATTTAAATATAAAACTCAAAGTGTGTGCCTTGCCTCACCCTATCCACATACACCTTGACTGCAACAGGAGCCAAGCCAGCCAAGCCATCCAGTTGAGAAAGCTCCAGCAGCGACGCTGGCTGCGCTGCTGCGTTGCTGTCGGTGTTGTTGTCGGTGCAACTTTTGCAAGCAAAAACAAAAACAAGAATAAGTGGAGTGAAAGAGCAAATTAAATGTTGCTCTTTTAACACTTTTGCGGAAGCAGAGAAAAATACCCACAGAGAGGGATAGACAGAGAGAGCAGTAAAGCCAGAGAGCCCGCATAACGGTCTATGTAGATATAGCATGCGATAAATTGTTATTCTGCGCTCCAAACTATTGTGGCAAAAAAAGAGTGTCCGCTAGAGAGAGAGAGACAGAGAGCGCTCTGCACTGTGTGGGGTTGAATCAGCGTTGACCAGCGAGCATTTATGGGGCATTTTGTTAAAAATGGGGTGGTGACCACGTTTGCTGGGAAAAGAAGAAAGCTTTTGAAAAGCTCTGAAAAATCTAAAACTGCGGACTGAAAGATTGGTTAATTTGTATCCTACAAATACAAGTGTTAGAGCAGCGGAAGGTTTGCTCAGTTATTCCTTGAAATAGGAATTCAATTATTTAAATAAAATAAATAAAAAATCAACAAATGATTAAAAGCACAAAAATCCGTTAGATAAGTTTTTTTTTAAATATTTCCTGCAAACTTTCGTACTTCAACTCTATCAAAAAGCTGCTCACTTTGATGCCCTCTCTGGGGGTTGAACTCTGTCTCTCTCTCTCTCTTGAACGGCTCGCTCTCGCATGCGATAATTGTCTGCCACACGCACACACCAGCAAGATTGCGGACAACAGGTTTGAGTTGGTTGCACGAACAGGGCAACATGTTGCAACTGAGTCAAGCTGCGGCACGCGGTACGTACTGGGGGCAGGATTCAAACGAACACCCCGACGATGATCATCATTAGCCTCACGCGAGGCTCGAATCACGCAATGCAATGCTCGCCATCGAGACAGCAGGAACAAAAACAAAACAGCAACAGCACCAGCACCACGATCGCCGGTTAGTACCTAATCGGTTATGCGAGTGTTTTGTGATATATTGACAGCATTACGGCTGCAGTGGTCGCGCATCATTAATCATAGATCCTTATGGGTTGATGCCTATTCATTTCGAACGCCATGGAACAAAAGCCCATACCAGAATGCAAGCAGCGGCAGCCAGCTCCTTCTTAGCCTGGCGGCACCTTAATGGTGTGAACACGCGGCAGAAACAAATTGCGAAACGACAACAGTTGGTCCAAGGGCACACACCGACCAGAGATAACCACCCGCTCTAGACAAAAGACAAGACGAGAGACACGCAGCGAAGGACAACAGTCCAAAGCAAACAGCAAAAAAAAAACCCATCGTAAAAAAAGTTACACGCCTGCGCAGCGGGTGGCGCTCACATGTAATAAAAACAGTGAGAGAGAGTCAGAGATAAAGAGAGAGAGATAGAGAAGACCTACTCACATATCGAAGCTTTCGATCAAATTGCCTATCAGATGGCCAGATCCCAGGGTTCCAGGTCCCTGCATCCCAGAGTGTATGTGTGTTGAAAAATTCATTTTAATAAGCGCCCGTAAAATCCAAGCCGCGATATCTGAGCAATAAATAAATGACAATTATGAATTGTTCCCCCACCAGTCTTAGCAATTTTCCATCTGAAGATCTGTAGATGGAGATGCTGATGTAGAAGCGGCGCCCCACGTGGAATGCAACTCTGGTGCCTGGCTGTGGCAGGCCTGTCATCGTGCCAGGGCATTAATTTGTTGTTTATCGCACCTTGTTAAAAACCTATCGAGCGGGAGACTAGATTGCGCCGAAGATGTGACACGATTGGCATTCCACAGATACCACTTTTGGCAACGGAAAGTCGAACCTTATCTACGAAATCTATTTTAAATATATGTACATATAATAAATATATGTACATAGTTCTTTCTTTCTTTCATATTTTGGTTGGGCTTGTGCTCTGTGCGGTAGCTAAAAATAGATAATATTTATAGTTGGTAGTTGGGTTTGGTTTTTATGAAAAAAACCCAAACAAGACATGCCTTTAATATATATTTCTGATAATGTTTTTTGGCTTCTTTCTTCTCGCTGAGCTAGACACAAGGGACTACAATATTTCTCAGAAGCGAATATCTTATCAAGAAAATTAAAATATAATTAAGCCGATTCCGTCTCTTACCCGTGAAATCTGTCAAACTTTGTACCCAAAACTTAAATATAAATCAAATATGATTATGAATAAAAAATGTGCAAAGCAATGAAAGATACTTATCGAAGAGACACGGCCACGGGACTCGGACACGCAGTATACAAAACGCCATTTATTTACCATTTATTTACCCAACGAATTCCGCAGGCAACGCCACTCTTTTTTTGCAATTGCGCGTACCGTACCAAAAATGTCAGCAAACATAAAACAACATAAAAATTTGACTTAGTTTGGAGCAAGACCACTTGCTAGGGGCTAAACACTAAGTACCCTAACAGAAGAGATGTTGGGGCTATGGCAGGAAGTTTGTGAGTTAGAGGGGGAATTATTCACTTTTCTAAGAAGGATTAAGAGCAATAACTAATCTATGCTTCTCTCTTTCTTTGCAGATTATAAAAGGTAAGAATCTAATGGAAGAAGCTGCTTGGATCTTGGATCTCTCCACATCCATCTTTACCCTCTATTAAATCACGACAGAGTATACCTCACTTCGGCTCTGTGCAGGCGCCCATAGATCCCCGCTTGTTTTTGTCAAATTCCATGCGTATAATACTTTTTTTCTCCACAATTTTTTCCAGCTCTATCGATATTTTCATATTTTCTGTACAAGTTTATGGCTGTGCCTGTTGATTTATGCAAATTATTAAACGTTTTCTAATAACTCATTATGCCGCGTAAACAACGTGCCGCATGACTTGACAGTCCCCATGGATGTGGCACCAGCCAGAAAGAGAGACAAAGAGCGAAAGAGATAGAGAGAGAGAGAGAGAGAGACTCTATCTGTAAACCAGAGTCAGAGTCAGAGTCAAAGTACCATTTCCATTACATGTTCAATTGGCTCCAGTCTCTCTGTCTCCAAGGGGCTCCTCTGCTCCATCGGGGCAACTACTGTTGCGTCTTTTAGTTAACGTTTTTTGTTTTTTTAACACTCGTTTTCTTGTTGCTTTTGTTATTGTTGTTGCTTTTCCGATGTTGGCTGTCAGTTTTCGCATATGTCTACCGCTGACTGGCAAAAGTTTCGTAGCGCTTAGCTAGATGTCAACTTTTGTTGGCATGCAAATATGCCATTTGTCCATTTGTCCATTTGGTTTCGTTTTTGTTTTATTTTCCTATGCCCGGTAATTAGGTAAATATTTTGCCTACTGTGGATCTTCATTTGCATAGATTTCAGTGTACTTTGGCACTGAGTTTTCTTGACCCACCACTCGCCGCACATGTGGCCCATGTGTGTTGGCTAAGTAAAGCTTTTACTTTTATAGGTAAACTCT